GGCAGGGCCCTGACCGCTCTGGCTGACCATGTATGCAGCTGTACCTTGCCCAGCGTTTACTCGCTGTCACCCTGTGGTAAGTGCACGTCATCCTGGCACAGCCCCAGCTCTCTTCTCTTGCGTCTGCGTGACCCCGGGCAGGTCACGAGACCCTCCTCTGCTGTCCTTTCCTCGGCTGTCACCTGGGGTAATCGCAGCGTCTGCTTCATAAGGGCAAGTGGGAGTGTGTTCGTCCTTGAGCAGTTAGTTTATAGTAAGCATATTAAGTGTTATAATTCAATTTTCTCATTTCATCCTCACCACTGCCCTCTGACGTGGGCACTGTTACTATCCCTCTTTTATAGATAGGGAAACCGAGGCTCCGTGAAGTGGGGTGATGCACCCCGAGCCGCATGCCGAGAGGTGGCAAAACTAGTTCTTGCACTCCCCTTCCTCTCCTCGATCAAAGTCTTTTTTCTTTTTCCCTAGTTTTATGGAGATGTAATGGACATAGAGCATTGTATCTCTTGCAGTTGCACAACACAATGATTGGATATTTATATATATTATGAAATGATTACAATAATGTTTAACCGACATCCATCACTAAGGGACACAGTTATTTTTCTTTCGATGAGAACCTTTAAGATCTGCTCTCTTCCCAAGTTTCAGATGCACAATACTGCACTGACTGCAGTCGCCCTGCTGCGCATCACCTCCCCAGAACGTGCGCACCTTACCTGGAGGTTGGTCCCTTCTGACCACCCTCACCCATTTCCTCCACCGCACCCCCGCCTCTGGCAGCCACCAATCTGTTCTCTGTATCTCTGAGTTCTTTTTTGTTCTTAATTCAGCATGTAAGTGAGATCACACAATATTTGTCTTTCTCTGTCCGACTTATTTCACTTAGTTTAATGCCCTCAAGGTCCGTCCATGTTGTTGCAGATGGCAGTATCATATTCAAGTTTTACACATCTACCACATTTTCTTTATTCTTTCATCCATTGACGGGCACTCAGGTTGTTTCTATGCCTTGCAAAGCCTGTTCTCTTTAGAAACGTGAAAAACCTGAAAACCTTAGGCAGAGAAAGAGAGAATATCAGTACTTTTCTTTCCACTATTATGCAGATTTCTAAAAGAAACGAGTGGGGTAAGGGGGACGTACCCATATCCTTCTCACATACCGTCTGCATTTCCACCACAGGGAAATGAAACTAGACATAGTCGACTTATATAGAAATTATCTAAACGACTTTCCAAGCATTCATGGGCATAAACGTACAAATAAGCAGGTCATGTTGACTGGACTCCAGGCATAAGGGCCAAGAGGGTGGAACTGTGGGGGCCGTGTGGTGGACAGGAAGGGGCGCAGGATGGGGCCTTTGCGTGACCTGTCCTTTCTGGGCCTGCACGTGCACCTCTATAAAATGAGTGGATTGTGGACCGGGTAGAAGGTCCGTGGACCTTCCACAGTGGTAGGGATTCACCAGGAAAGGCACTGCCCACTGTCGCCCTTCCCACACTGGGACAGCTCTCAGGGTCCTCCAGGGGGCAGACCTCCCCTGAGCCCCTGACCTAGGGAACTCTGTCCCCTGCTTGCGTTTGCTCTGCCACAGCACCCCGTTACCCTGTTGTAGTTTCCTAATAGAATCCATACTGTCTGAAGTTATCTTGTTTATTTTCTGATTTATTGCCTGCTGTCCCCTCCCCAATAAAATGTGAGCTTTGTACGGGTAAGAGACCATGTCTGCTTAAGGTGTCCCCCAAGTAAGGTGCCCCTGTGCTTGGAAAGCTGCCTGGCATGAAGCAGGTGCTCAGTACTGCTTGTTGAATGAACCATGATTTTCATGATCCCTTTTTAAGACATCCCAAGTAACTCCATGGCATGAGGTGCTGACATAATCTATTTAGGTGGGGAATGAGAAAGGATCTGCACCTAGTTCTGTCTTGTTTTCCTCTGTTTGCTGCCTCTGGACACTGTAAGGCTGCAATGCACTGCATAGGACATGCGAGCCCGCCAGGGATTGCTATGAGATGTGAAATCCCCCACCTCATTCCCAGGGCGTCCTGCTCTCCTCACAGGCAGCCTGCAGCGCAGGTGGACCCCGAGGGCACAGGGACGGGATGAAGCCACGGTGGGGGAGAGGCAGCAGGCAGCCTGGGGGGGTGCTGGGTCTGTGGAATCCACTCCAGGCCCGAGGTGCCAGCACCAGAGCAGCCTGCAGGCTGCAAGGTGCTGCCATGGGCCTCCCCGCCTCTGGGACGGAGGCGTGCAGTCACTCTCCTGATTTCTCTGGGAAAGAAAATGAGTTCTGCCCATTTCAGTGCTTTGCTCCCAGTGGCACAGCGAGCAGAGGACCTGCCATGGGAGGTCCATCAGATGATGCAGATGATGCTGAATGTCTATG